GCACTCCTATCAGCATGAATAAGAGATAAAGGGTGGAAACGGTAGGCCAGTAAAACAATCGGTCTTCATCTGGGCACCGAGCTGGACAACTACGTTCCCATCAGTCGAGGTGACATCTTCAGAGCGTCTTGAAGTGAATCGGTGTAGTTTTCTGGGTTACTTGCAGTGCGAGGATGTGGAAGGCATTGCAAATGGTGCAATGCACACACACACAAACACACAATTTCGGCTCACAACCACACACCGGTACTGTTGCCTCGATTACTGACAATCAAACTATCCGAGAAAATGCACCCTGGGAAAACAAAAACGGAAAGAGTAAAAATTCCACTCTCAACGGCTGAGAAAAGCGACTAGGAGGAATAGTACAGGTGTCTAGTCAACCTCAAGGAGAGGCACATGAACCATGTCCAAGAACGTGATGCGACTCAACGGCGCTATACATCTCATCCTCAGCATTCTCAGTTCTCTCTTGGGGCACTGCGTTCGATGATAAGAAGAGGAAACACAAGAGGGTACATGCCTGACTATGATGATACCTTGTATTTCTGTTTCCGGAAATCAACCTCACTAGGCTCACGGGATGAGCATCGGTGGAGATCGTGTGTGGATAGCAAAGCTAACGGGCTAGGTGTGTGCGCGACATTAGCCAACCCCCGGGAGTAGACCGTAAAGACTGAATTGTTCAACACACTGAAAACAACATGAGGATGTTTAAATTCACTATTTGAGATGTCGGCTTACAAAATTAAAGTGCTCTTGGATATAGCACCCAGCTAGAGTGAAAACAGCTCCCTAAAACTCGGCTTCTTCAATGGAAAACTACGATCGGACTGCAGGGATCCGGGAACGATAATGGCGGTTTAAACCTTATCCAACAACGACCTCTGATCCGAACCGGGGTTGACCATGCTGACTGAGAGAGCTGACTGGGTATCCACTGGCAGAAAGTTACCCAACAGGCTATGTCCATCCAACTTGCAACGAGGAAACACCATGTGCAAAAGGCGACGCGTTCCATCTGAGTTGATCTCAGCTCTTGCCGAGCGTAGATAATGCCGCGAACTTCTGAGGACTCTTTCGTCTGATACAGAAGACGAACGTCAGGAACCACACCTCCCGACAACCAACTCAGGAAGCGAGCCCATTCCAGATCTTGGACGAAAAACCGCGCTTTAGTCCAGTTCTCAGCTACACAGACCAGTCTTTCCGTCATCTGCACCGCGCTATCAACCACGACAATAGTCACTCAGATGAAAACTAACAAATTTCCAGGTGGACATGGTGTTTCTGCTGAAATCTATAATACATCACAGAGTTGCCGGACTCTTTTCGTAAAATGTTCCGCTCAATTTGGAAGTCAGAATTATTCTTACCGGACGGAGCACACTGATTTTGTTAGTACAGATCTAGTTCGATTGGTTGAATCGAGTGGCTACTGATGTTTGATCAGAAATCAGAAGAGGAACGGGCGAATAATGTGCTCTTCCCAGCACGGGTTGGTGTTATCGCACAGGGGGTCAGATAAAAGCATGGATCTGTCAGGGCGCACCCAGACACGGAAAAAGTACACGTACGGAAAAAGTACACGTGCAGAGGGACGCATCCCCAAGGTCACCATCGGTACGACACGTCCAGAAAGCAGGTGCGTTGGCGGAGCTCACCAAACATGGCTTGGCAACATACGACCAGCGTAGTGGGCCTGAGATTGTTCATGACCTGAACACCGCCATTGGGTGTAAGGAGCGAACAAGTGAACGACCATATTTGGCCATTTAGTCATCCCATATATTTACGCAGACGCTCTGTATGTTTTGTCCTGGCAATACAGCCGTGTCCCCAGTTCTCCGTCTTCTCCCTATCGCGTAGTCTGGCAGGCTCGGTGCAGGCGTAACCAATAGACGGCCGCCCACGATACAACAGGATCGCCATAATCAAATTTGATGTCGTTTGCCTGGGGCTTAACAGAGTTCACGGTGTTATGCGTTTGGAACCAGATTAGAACGAAATATGTAGAGACCTTGTTGCCTAACGTCGCGAAATCCATGAAGCCCATTCATACTAAAAAACCGTTCAGCTGTAGCCTAGCTGCCACGCCACCCGAAGGAAGCACGAGGGCTGGGATACTGCCAGGTTGCCCAAGCCTAGACAGAGGAAGTCGAGAGGCAGAGGTCGGGTTCGGACCACGGACCTTCCGGTCAGTAAATTCGCGCTCTAACCACCTGGGCCACCTCGCCGATAGATGACCGCCTTGTGTACGGAAGAAAGTACTGAATAAAAAGTACAATCCACCACAGTTAGCACACGAACACATCAGCTCAAAGCTACTCGTCTCCAAACTTAACACTCTGGATACTTCAACGGGACTGTTATTTTGATGCTCTAGGGTGATCTGAATCCGAAACGAGCCGGTTCGTAGTTGAGCTTTATTACACAGCTCGGCCACGATTGGCTGACGAGCGCTTAAACGAAGTATAGCGTCACTTCTGCTTCGATCACGCAGTTCGCTTCCTGTAGTGGACTGGCTCCGCGAGTGACTACTTCTCATATAGGACACCCATTCGACTTGTAGGAGGCAGACTACTTTGTATCATGTTGGTAGGAGACTCCGGATGCCTGATTCTAGATGTTGTCGAGAAATTGAAAACAGTCACCAACCATTCCACAGACGTCTAGTGGAATATAAGGTTGACGGAAACTCGGGGACTGCACCTACCTGATGAGCCCCAAGAAGGGCGAAACCGGTCGTAGGCTGTCAACGAATTCTCAGCAACCTTGTGAGTAGTGCATTACGAATGTACGTCCAATACTTGTTAAGAATTGTTGGTAGCGTGCAGACTTCGACTTTTATGGTCGAAATCGCAACCTTCGGAATGGGAGAACGCTCTACCGCTCAGAATTACAATTAACCAGTGTTCATGCAAAGAATTTCAGATGTGATAAGGCAAAGAGTAGCAGCACAAATTATTCCCAATCAGGCTAAAATAGCACGATCTGTTGGGCGCAAATATTTCAGTTTCGTCACAGCGGGAGAAAATCCTTTCCCACAAAAAAGACGATCAGGTTGCCGACGTGTCTAGTGTTGTCCAATGTTAATATGTTTCCCAATCGGCTGCACGCAGGAGAATATATTCGGTCGATGAGAAAGTGATGCGGGATTTCACACACTTATGCAATCAGAGCAAAAAAATCGTTCAGCTGTAACACCCTTTTGGTGCCTAGCTGCCATGCCACCCGAAGGAAGCACGAGGGCTGGGATACTGCCAGGTTGCCCAAGCCTAGACAGGGGACGTCGAGAGGCAGAGGTCGAACTACGGACCTTCCGGTCAATAAATTCGCGCTCTAATCACTTGGACCATCTCGCCCATGATAGAAAACAGTCATTTCCAGGGTCGTATAACGCAGTTACTTGCAGTGACGCCACCAAACTCCGTCAGCACACACCTTCACAAAGAATCATGTTCCCTGACCTAGACTACCGTCCCCTCTCCAAAGTCTAACCGGAGCCAACTTCAGGATACTTCGACAGACCAAACGGAGAGTTGAGCCGGACGGAAGCGGTATAGAATCTCCGCCTTGTGATTATACTAACCAGTTGAGGCATTATTGAAAATACCCACTTGGTACCTTTGTCCTTCAGAGGACTTTTTTGTGCTCTTCATTGGGTCCACCTGGTTGGGTCCTCGGTTGCTTGGATATGATTACAGATAAACGATTACAATGGTTTTTGGCCCATCCCTTCAGTTATCTTTCTTCGAGGCAAAGGGATCGCGCACTACATCGCGCCTAGCTGTATCCCATGTTCGCAGGGATCTCTCTTGAGGGATGACTGTCGAAGTAACACCGCTGGTACGACTGACAACGATGTATGAACAGTCAAACCTGAACGATATCATTTGTTAGTCATCAATGCACACCAAGCATCCACTACTGGTAGGCCCGTGGAGTTGAACTGAATGGTATTCACCCTCTATTGGAAACCAGCACTGACAAAGTCAAGACCAAAATAACATGTGAAAACTTTGCTTTCCAGGCATAATAAAACGGTAACTTTAACGAGAATTTCTTTCGGTCTTCTTTGAAGAGAACACTCCGCATGAAAGAATGCTTGAGTTATGCTGGTAACAATCAACGTGAAGAATATCGTCTGGATTGACCAAGAGACAACCTTTTGCCCAAGTGACCGGACAGACAAGACAACTCAAAGGCCTCCGATGGGGCAAGGGACACTGTTGGTAACCTGGATTGACAGAGTCAGACCACCACGCGCGGACCAAGAGTAAATTCTACCCTGGGATGGACTTTGCTCTTGTTCAAAACTTAAATTTCGTGTTCCGGATATCAGCGATGAACAGTCAAATGCATCCTCAAACATATAACGCCTCAATGAGTCTGTCCACTCACACAGGCCGCCCTAGTCAAACAGCCGATAGGAAAAATTAGCCAGCAGACAGCACATTTTGAGGGCCATGCGCACGTGACAAGAAGAGCAGCGTCTGTACTAATTCACCGAATCGGCTTGTACAGGATGGTTGAAGATTCGAAAAATCAGGAGCAGTGATGAGCGCTTTGACAGTGGCCGAGAAGACCCCCCCCCCTGGGGAAAATTACAGCGCATAGGTTTTGGTAACCGCCATGTGTGTTCCATCAAAAGGGCGATTTGCCATACAGTTCCGTCCATCAAATGCGCTTTGTATCGATACTCACAGAGTGTTGTTCGGAAAGGTTTCTCGGGATTTTTAGAATGAAATGAGTGTGAATGGAATACTGAAATGTGATAAGCAGCTAAAACGGACAAAATTTGGATTTACATCATTTAAAATCCCCTTTGAGGGGGTTTCAGAGGTGCCAAACAGTGGGTAGATGGTAAAAAAAACCCGCGAGCATTAGCATTGGAAAACTGTACCGACACTCAAAGTCAAAGTGTACTTACATAAAAAAAACCCGCGGGCATTAGCATTGGAAAAGTGTATCGACACTCTAAGTCAAAGTGTACTTACTTTCCAAGGTACCACCGAAGAGGATGCCCCCTCCGGGGTCTGGCGAATGAAGTAATACGCAAACATTTTCGTCACACAGATGGAAATCGGCGGCTACCAATTTGGTTTCGACTGAAATATGGTCATCGTTAAGGGGGATGCAACCCGCTTTACTTGATTTTGAGCAGTAAATAAAACGGCAAAAGGTAGACTTGCAATCATTGGTGCCAAAAACTTTGTTCTTGGATGACACAGTCGTAGTTGGATTGTGAAATAAACTGTACGGCATTGGCGCTTAACGAAAGACAAGATGGCTTGACTAGGTAGAAGTTGTTTTAGCTTCAAGCAAAGAGAAGCATGATAAGCTAAAGTGAAAGACCAAATTGAAAATCATCAATGTTTAAACAGTGCACGATCGGTTTTGGGAGTATACGAGCGACTGTTGAAGTACAGAGTATTTCAGCTGTGAGGCCGTGGCGTTATACCCATCTCACTTCTGATTGGCTAGTTTCATTTGGCGCCCAACGATGGTGAGCTGCAGCTATTGGTGAGGATTAGTCAGGACAACAAAACAAACGTAAACGACATCAAAAAGGATACGTTCTTCATTGCCAGCCAGTCTGGCAGACGACCGAGCGGCCTAAAATAATATAGGATGAGAACGGGGATACAAAGGAATCGGGTGAACCAACTGTTATCACGACAGGCAAGTTAAAAGAGACGGATGGCTGAAAATATGCTAGCAAGGTGGACGAGATAGAGTGAACGGCAAAAAAAAGCAGGTGATATTTTCGGTTCAATCGGCTAACATGATTTCCGACAGATGTGGTTGATCGCGTTGTCGAGCGCGTTTATGAGGGAAAGATTGGCGATATGGTTTTATTACACGGAGTTTGATACAAAGAAACTAATGGTAAAGAAAAGGCCCTTATAACACAAAATTTATGGTATCTGTGGGTCGAGGAGGGAGGTTAGACATCTACAGTTTTCATATTGTAGGCAAAAATGAACACAAGTGCACTCCGATACAGCTACTTTAGAACAGTGTCCGTTCTTGTACTGAAAAGTGAGCTCATTTCAGAGGCCTAGTACAGACTGCCAACCCACGGTCTCTCAAAGACGAGATGAGCATCTTTAAACCGATTCAAAGGCAACCGCAGCAGTCAGCATTTCTCAAGGGTTGCCTGAAAAGTACTGCGTACGAAATGTTGTCCACTTGGAAAGACACGTAAAGCAACAAAAGCTGCTCCTCTAGCAGAAGGGAACATTTTGCTTCTTTGAGGGAAGTTTGACCATTTTTCTGGCATTCCTCGTGAGAAGTTCGTCGACCAAGAGGGCAAATTCGTCACAAAGTGCAGAATGATCGATTCAAGGTGTCCCAAGATGCAGGTTATCGTGAAATTCCAGATAATTTAAGCCATTCCCAACAGTCAGTTGCGTGACTGATTCACTTCCGAACAGGCCATGGGGGACAACATGCGACGAATCAGGATGATTATGTAGAAATGCACCGTAACTCCGAGTTCAGTGTCCATCCTTGGAATTTGTGTACTGGTAGAAACGACAGCTGCTCAGTGCTGTTGACGATAGGGAGGGAAATCCCAAGCACTCTTCTCCAGTCACTAATGCGATGCGCAGGGTAATGATTCCTCAAGAGTTGGGCAACAAATTTCAAAGGTGAATAAGATTTATGGAGCGTTTTCGAAAAAAAGTTTGGTGACAATCGGGTACGAGATTTATGGACGTTTGTCAAACAGGGTATCTAGGAAGTCTATTGATTGTACAGAACAAAGATAGTAAAAGTCGAGGCAGCCAGTACAATCCTAGGTGACAGAGGTTTCACATTTGAGGAAGAGAAACATCGGGATCAGTTGAGGCAATCAGCAACCCAGCAGCAATCAGGGGGCACTGGCTTGTCACGGCAGCGTCCGGACAGTGTCAACTAAGGAAGGCAGCATCGTTAACCCCAGGGTTAAGGGAAAACCGCCAGTTCGGTCATTATCACCTTGAAGGTCCCGATATCACTAACATGGTGTCATACTGAGAGAGGTGGGTGTTGCGCTGAAACTTACAGAAATTGACGGATGGTACCCCGACGATAAACAGTTAACTGGTGTCGATCGTCACGTCATCATGTTTAGGCTCACTGATGACGAATTTTTGCACTTCCACCCGTCGACCTTGTTCCCTGGATTTGCACTGGCGCCAAGGCTCGTACGTAGCATCGTAATCGACGCAGCACAAACCATTTGTGACTTTCTACTGGGGCTCAGAAGTCCAACGGTGGACCGGCGAGTCAGGGACCAAATATGTATACCTGCTTCCCAATTTCGTTCACACATAGATCTGCAGTGCAGTCCGAAATACGAATGGCTACAAGTCATGAATGCGGCATTGTTCACAGGTGATGCTTACACGTACTGGTCTGCTTCAATCAAGTACAGAATTCTACATTCCACACAGCCACGCACTCCAAAGCGATAGCAGAAATGTTGCTGAGGAATGTCGGTGCATAAATCTGTCGGAAAGGATCAGTGTACCGGATTTAGAGCTATGCAGACGAATAAGCGGGTAGTTCTTCCGTCCAGGGTATCCATCGAACAGTAAAGTAGGTGCGACGCATACCTGAATAGATCGTGATGCATGGCAGTCCGGGTGTACCGTTATGGTAATTGGTTGGTGTTTTAAATTGTATCTGAGTGCGCGCAGAACAAACAGTCTGCAAACACAGTGAACGACAAAACGCTGAAGCCGAATACAGTGTGGAAACGCGGGCTTAGTGCGTTGACGAACTGATCAATTCTACTAAGTGTTGGAATGTGACATCCAGCCAACCGTGGGAAAAAATGACGTAAAGTTGGTAGGTCCGAAACGGAAGGTGTCCGATGACCCCTAAAATGGCCACACCAACGCGCGGTGCGACATCCTGATTTCCGAGCCTCCAGGCCTTAATTCGCATTTGAAAAAGGCAGATAGAGGAAAGCCGCTGTGTGAATTAGCAAATACTATTCTCAGTTTCCAGAACATTTCCTTGACGCATATATGGGTGTACGTCAGGTTTGCAGTTGAAAACTGAGAACCGAACAGCTGCGTTCACATGAGAAAACAAGGCCTGCACGCTTGTGATTGGCCGATATTTTGACCAATCAGAACGTGCCAACGACAGTTTCGCTTCACAACGGACTGGTTCGGTGGTTTCCGAACGGGAAGTGACCTAGAGGGTACGAATAAACAGTGTGACCTCAATTCCATAATATGTTGGTGAATATTTCAGCTCTACCCTTTTCAGGTACATGGTACACAAAAAAAACGCACATATGATGGTGGGTTGCATCTTCAAACCGGAGTGGGGACCGACTCTATCCGCGTGCATTATTTAGCCGCTTAACTGGAAACCTATGACGACGTTGTCTCCCGGAATCAAATTTTCATTTACATTAGTTGGTGGATACGGGGAGGGTTGCGTAGGTGAACTTTAGCAGACTCTTATCAAACGACTTCATGGAACAAAACGCGACAAAGGCTAGTTACGAACACAAGGATCAAGACGAACCATGGTTTGAACGTTGTGTAATGATTTTCAAAAGAAGAAACTGGATGTAAGACAGAGAATTCAATATGAGCATCGGAATATCATTAAAGTCTCCCACAAATGCACTTCATATAAATTTCATTTCAACCAAATCCTAAGTAAATGAAAAAACTGAAAAGATTTTGAAGCAAACGAATCTACGCTTTTCAAAACTGGGAAACTGATGAGTATTCTAAGAGAGATCCATTGATGTGTGCCTAATATCCATTTTTACCATTCGTGTGTGATCTGGGTAGAACCCTGACGCTCGATTAGGGTCAGCTGATTTACCAGTCATGAAAAAGGTTGATTTTTTAGTCCATCGTTCGCGTACACTCCGTACCTTTTTGCTCTGCCGTACAAACGGTCTTTGTATGACTTACTATCCTAGCGATTCTTGCTATACCAGCTGTGTCTGGAGATGCCTGGTCTGGACGATGTCACGTGATCATGAATGATTCGTAATAGTTCTACTCAGAGTTTACGAAACGTGCGAGGAAAACCCATCATCCAACATGACTGTTGTGCAACAACAGTGTGTCGAAGCTACTCCGGTCAATCAACTGGAGACCCAAGGAGACCGACGAGACGAGGAAACTTCACCATTATCTGACGTGACCAAGAGCTGAACAGCAGTCCGTGCTTATTCTGAAGCCCTTTAGTTTCTGAAATATTAATGCATTCTGGTTTACCTAGCATTCAATATAAAGCAGTCATCTGATAGCTGTTGGGCTGCCTTCCTTCTATAGTCTACTGGCGTCATTCTATTCCTCACCATATCGTTGTGGAAAGGAATTCACTCGTAACTTTGTTCCTGGCTTGTGTGTGGAATGTTGTAGGTGACAAAGTTTACTATTGATGCTCTCGTCGTTGTGCCCATTCTCGACAGGATGAACAACGTGTGTGTGTGTGTGTGCATCTGCTGAACGACACCAGTCGTCCGTCATATTTTGGTGTGCGTATTCCTTCACGATCAATCGATACTGGTTGCGGCATTTTTTCAAAGAGGGAGCAGCTACTTCGAAATGAATCGTAAATATCTTTAAAAAAAAGGCCAGAGCTCGTGAGATAACGCTGAACATTCAGTCTGGGTTAATCGTCTGTGTTAAGAGATGTTATGATACGACGCTGGGAGAACCTCAAGATTTGGCATCAACCGGTAATCAGGAACACGGATGGATCCTTTAAACGTGTCTGTCGGAGAATGAAATGCACTGGCCACCCTAGGAACTACATACCCGGGGGGAACAGGGGTGCACTGCAACGCGACAGAGATTAGATAAAAACCAGAGAGCCATCTGAATCGTCTATTCCGAAGCAACGGATGCTTTCTAAAAAAGCACTCAAACAATAACAGCAGAACAGTTGAATTTTCCTCACATCAGGAACATGTGTCGATTCGTTGCCAGGCCAACACAACTGAAAGGAATCCCAACAACCTACGAACCAGTTCGTATATCGAGGAGATCGGTTCCATAAACGAAGGGCAAAACCAATGAAAGTATAAGAAACGAATTGACTTCGCGGTTTGTGATCACTAGACTGTTGGACGGACTGAAAGAAGACCAACACAGAAAAAGCAACTTAACGCAACTACCATAGGGCATGTCCAGTATCCATCATTTCTATACATGAAGTCCAATTGAGACAGCGCTAGGCAATCAATCTGCCGTTTAGTTTCCAAACCTTTCGACTAGTAAAAAACGAAATCGTGGTACGTGAAGTTCCAAAACAATAAAGGAAGATCCTGGGAGCATGGCACTCCGCGATGTACGGTGAATTGGATAAGAAAATCCTTCGAGAAGCAGCATCGCTGTGGTACGTGAAGTTCCAAAACAATAAAGGAAGATCCTGGGAGCATGGCACTCCGCGATGTACGGTGAATTGGATAAGAAAATCCTTCGAGAAGCAGAAATCGCTGTGGAAGCAAGCGAGCATAGGTCAAGATGGGAGAGTCAGCGTCAAGTCTTGAGGTTGCTTTCAAACTAACCAATCAAAAGACTGGTAAGAATGCTCACTCTGGCCATTACTGATGAGCCACGGACAGTCTGATTGAATGGACTCCACAAAAACGCACTAAAGCACAACACAACGCAGTGACGATGTCGTCTCAACCGGCAATGGAATGTTTAGGGCAAAATCACCCAACTCAGCGAAGACATCACCAACAATCCGGTAACAGACATTCATAATTGTGTGCCACTTAGACGAAACTAGAGCGGTACCTGACAGAGGGAACTACGGTCGTTGGTTTGTTCCCTGAGCTGGGCAATTTGATTGCAAACGTTTCTTCATCAATCGAGGCGTGTTATATCTGTTGATTCATCAATCTGTTCTATCTGGCTACTGACTCGCTCCAGTGTCTAGTGCCGGAAAAAGACTCACAGGAGGGAGCACAACAGCTATATTCCGAACAAGCGAGTGCGAGAGCGCGTGCGAGTGAGAAAATACAACGGTCTCAAGCTATTTATTGGAGGGACACTGTCTGAACTTGGTCCAACGCTGACGCACATTATCTGGTAAAAGGCTGTGAAGCGCTGCATATTGAAGGGGCGTTGTCTGTCTGGCCAACATCTAGCGGAGCTGAGAGTCTCGGTAGATTTTCGAGTATTCAGTGGTTGCTTTCATTCATTGGTTGCTTTCAGGAAGCTGACCTTTCCGATAGGGTGATATCATCAATGCGTTGTTAAGGGGTGTACCGGAGCGCAGCGATGAGTAGGTTGAGTGAACTATAAATAGCTGAGCAGTGAACACACTGTGGAAGGCACACTGAGCTATGTCAAGAATTTCATGTAGAACTCCTACCCGTTCATCACGGAGGCCATGAAACATCACGCACAACCTACGGTGAAGCTTTCTACAAAGGAGAGACAACAGCTGAGCTTACCATCCTTCAGTTAAAAAGAACAAGCCTTTCCAGTTGTAATTTCCCAATCGGTTCCTGTGACACGCCTGCAGATTGAGGACAAACAACCGCATCTTGCAGCGTCATTACCTTGAATAGGTCACACGACGCGACATCTATCCGCATGCATAATGGAGCGCACTCGTGTTGTTTGGACGGATGCTGGTAGGTCGGTGGTTAGAACGAGTTTGTCACACTTGTGGGACACGAACACCCAGACAGACAGACAAGCGGACAGACAGACAAAGACGCCTTCCGAATCACCTGTCAGTTAACCATGACAGGTTATCGCGCACAGCGCTCTGAAAACAACCGAGTATCATCCTGTCCAATCGGAGAAAATCGCTGCAGTCTGTGCAGCTTAGCTGCCTCTTACGAGCATCCAGACAACTTTTGTGCATACTCGCTATGACCTCCGCCCCAAACCGATGAACTTGTACCGTGCACAACTTGGTGCGTGGCACAGAGACTGGCTATAATGATCCGCTGTGATGTCCTGACGAGCTAAGTGGATTCGGAAACTTCACATCTTCGTTTTATTTACAGTGTATAACCGTATTAGCCGAATAGAGGGATCTCACGTGATAGAGACTCTCCGCGAGAATTGAGACACTGCTGATTTATTGGAGCAGTTGCGTACATATCAGCTAACTTATGCAGTCTGCTAGCTAGCCCGTCTTTGGTTAGGTGAAGCATGTCGGGCTACATACACTCGATTGTTGTATGACGTACTAGCGGCGAAGATGAAAAAAGCAAAACAAAGGAACATACACAAGTAGGTACTCAGCTCATTGGCAGGACAGGACAAATAACGGAACAGCTGGTATAATCCAGCTCGAATAAGAATCAATGGGGTGAGGGCACATGGTCAACTGCAGGATGAAAGGTAGGCCCGGCGACTTGTAGTAGCTGAACATGGAGCCCCTGAGCGCAGAGAGTTGGACCAGACAATCGATTGGCTATTACCTGACTGTGGGTAAAGTACAACTGCCATCTATGCACTGCGGAAGTGCAGTGAAAGTGTTAGAGAAAGCTGAACTGACACCACGAGATGTGCTAACACAGCACAGGATTGTTAACTCCTTTGAATGTTTGAAGAGACATCACGAATGCTCTGTTGAGATGAGGCCTCCGTTATTTGAGCCGGTGTATGTGGATGCCAACAATGCACAGGGCGACCCGGAAACAATTGACGTGCTCGTGAACACAAGGTTAACGGCAAAATGTGCCGCCAAACACAGGGAGTAACCACGGTGTGACCCCATCAAACCTTTAATCGCCGTCTTTGTGGAAAAGCTAGAGAATGCCGAGCTACTATCTCTCATCTACGAACGCAGTATTCACACGCTTGGTAGACCACCAAGTCCGGTGGACCCAATAACAGTTTTCAGTACAGTTTCTCCACCAGAATCGAAATATCAGACAGATACTGTTTCTCAATGTATGCGTAAAAAGTCATTCTAATGGGACGATAAATCGCACATTTATTTCAAGGACAATGTACTTGAGAGACTGTGCCGAAGGGATATGAACAGAAGCTGCAGTCGTGAGAGCGAGAGAGAGAGGCAACGCCTAGGCGATGGTGGAACATTGGTCCAATCAGCGACAATAAAACCAGTCGCTCGCCAAACATTTAGTACTTCCAAGTTAAGGACGGATAGCTTTTCCAAAACTATATCGTCATAATGAAGTTTTGCACCACTGAAAATCGTTTTTTCTCTCTCATAAACCACTCGCGGTCAAACCAAGACAGAGTAGCCAACAGATATTAGTGGATAGAGATTGTGTATACATTTGGCCAGCGTAAACAGTAGGTTTGTACATGTCACGTGACAAGTTGTGCGACTAGCATTGTGGAGGGTGGTTGTCTAGATGAATTTTCACCAAAAATGTAGTTTTGATCGCACCGGACGCCGAAAGACTCCGAAAGTTGCCTCGATAAACTTGCAAGGCAACCCCGATCAAGAGGGAAGCAAGCCAGGACTATCGTGGGTACAAAACCAACAGAATCATCTTTGGCCTACCGTGCTGTCCAACAGGGCAACGATAGAAGACACTCTGATTTTGCGTAGAACACAACTATATGCATGTACTAAGTAAGAAACATTTCTGCAATTTTGTGTCAGGTTCTGTGTTCCTGATCAATGAATTAGAGTCCAGCGGCGTGGTTCGGATTTGTTGACATTCTGACCAACGAAACTGCACCCACACTCGATTTGTAACCAGGCTGCCGCAGTTGTCGGCGTCGTTTGATCATTCTATTCAGCCTGCCTTCGTTTCAAGGCAACCCCGATCAAGAGGGAAGCAAGCCAGGACTATCGTGGGTACAAAACCAACAGAATCATCTTTGGCCTACCGTGCTGTCCAACAGGGCAACGATAGAAGACACTCTGATTTTGCGTAGAACACAACTATATGCATGTACTAAGTAAGAAACATTTCTGCAATTTTGTGCCAGGTTCTGTGTTCCTGATCAATGAATTAGAGTCCAGCGGCGTGGTTCGGATTTGTTGACATTCTGACCAACGAAACTGCACCCACACTCGATTTGTAACCAGGCTGCCGCAGTTGTCGGCGTTGTTTGATCATTTTATTCAGCCTGCCTTCGTTTAGAGGTCGGCACGTTGAACAACACTGGAGTCATATGCCACTGTGGTGAATCGTTTCTTCGCTTTATCCACTCCCCCCCCCAAAAAAAAAGTGGAATTTCAAGTCAGTGTAGTAGTCCCCAAAAAGATTGTAGGTAGAAAACGGGCCAACTGCTAGTGCTGGAGGAGATCTTCTTGAAAACAGCTCGGATAATGCATAATAGTTCACGGTTTACTAATACGAAATACTGAACATCGAACCCCGGAACAAAGATCTGTGTGTGTGTGTGTGTGAATCTTTTTATGTTTCCTAGTGTCGTTAGCCGAATCCAAATTTTCTCATGCGTTCAGCTGTAGCACCCTTTCGGTGCCTAACTGCCGTGCCACTCGAGGATTGGGATAATGCCAGGTCACCCAAGCCTAGACAGGGAAAGCCGAGTGGCAGAGGTCGGGTTCGAACCACGGACCTTCCGGTCAGTAAATTCGTGCTCTAACCAGTTGGGCCATCTCATGCGCGTCCTAACTATCATGTTGGGAAATGACATTAGAAGATTTGGCCAAGACCAATACTAACAAACACACTTCTATTTGCACATGATATTATTAGTGTGGCTGCAGGAGCTAAAACCCTCATGAACGGATCAATAAATTCACGAAAAACGCTGTCAACCAACTAGCCAATCACGTTGGGGAGAACACAAATAGCCTTTAATTGCTATATAAACGCACACAGGCAAACAGAAGGTACCCACCCAACTGCGCACTGAGGATGTCTCCTCGTATGGTGACGAAACATTTGCAAGTCGATTGCCAAGCGCGGCGGACAGATCAACAGCCACCTGATCAACAACTAATGGCGTGACGTAAGCCCATTTATGTGAAGTAAGATTGGTCTTCTCTAACTCGCCTGGATAGAATCCTGCATTCCCACCCACTTGATTGTCTCTCACAGCTTACCATCGAATGTCGGGCTTAAATAGTTTCACATGGTGATCACTTGTGATGGATGGCGTGATAGTGAGCACTCTCTACGCAAGCTGTTACTGTATAAGGCAACAAAAGATTCAATGTTTTTTCCACATTTCTCTCTACTTAGAAGCGACATACTGCGGAGATCTTGTTCCGATTGTCACAACCCGGTGGAGAACAAACTTATCGATGATGGACAGATTATCACTTAGTGTGACACGTAAAAATGCTACAAAACCAGCAAGCCGCTTGGAAGGGGCTCCATCTCCCCCCTGGTGCAGTGCCAAACATGTGGACTTGCGAAACACGCGGACGCATGTGTCTTAGAGGATCGGACTTTTGGGTCATTAGCGCACTCAACAATCCAATCACTGCGTTGGGAATGAAAGGAACTGAGGGATGGCACCGGTGGCCCAATGATAAACAGATAAATCGTGTCGGCCGGTACCCGTGCTTACGCCATCTTATTTAGTTCGGCTGATTGCCTCTGCAAGTTCACCAGTCGATCTTGTTCCCTCGGTTCAAAGCCAAGCACCTGCGTGCAACACCGCATTCTAATAAGCATGAATCGTATGTCGCCATCAACTAGGCGCAACGGTCCAGTGATTCTGACCGCTGCTGATAGGCAAATCCCATCCGGCTAATTAGAGTAGGTGGTCGAAAAACTATTCTACGATGACCTTGAGGGCTATAACTTTGGTTTAAATTTATGAGGAAGGCCAATAATTGGCGGACGAACAAAAAACAGCGAGCTCTCATGATACAACCAATCAAACTATGGTGCAGTCTGAGAATAAGGTCGTACAGGAGGCCTGAACCGTTTTCTCTAGACGATCACCTTTTTCATGTTTATAGTTGCAACGACGATGCCTTCTCTTGAGGATGACTCTGAAAACTGCATATCTCGATAGTTAGGAGGATGGTGGTGACCATCGGCGTATTAACAAAAAAGCCAAGGGCACAGAGCAGCTCAGAATGCACTTCTGTGTACAGCAGCACCGGAGATAGAACAATTATGCCTTGTTGTCTGCGTCCCCTACAGTCAAGTGAGACGTTCACTCAAAGAAGAACCTCCCACGTAAAACCCACAGCCTACTATCTGGCGACTCAGACGAGAAAGTCAACGGCTCAGATTAAATTTTGCTCATCTATAACACCCTTTCAGTGCCATCTCACCCAAACGAGTTACAAGGGGTAAGGTACCGCCAGCTTGCCAAAGCATGGGTAGGAGCAGTCAACGTACAGAGGCTAGATTCGAAACACGGACCTTCCGGTCAGTAAGTTCGCATCTTAAGCACTGATCCACCGTGAGCTCATAGAGGGAAGTACGTTAGACCGACCCAGATTGGCAGGTTGGAATCGGTGCGCCAGAGGCGGTGATGTCTTCACATGGCAGCATACTAAACATCATTTACAGATGTGACTCAAGGAGCGAATAAAACGTGTGGATGTACAAGTGTGCATGTGTCTATACCATACTCACGACGCATGAATTCACCTAAGCTTAATGAACATTTGGCATTGTTTATAAGCAAGGATGGCAGTTACATCCAAAGCCGCGATAAAAATCTTGATGTTTCGCTTCCTCCAAAAACAGGCCAAAACATGACCATTCACAAAATTCGACTTCTCTGATGAATGTACTACAAAAATGAGATGTTCACCATGTTTCAGCAGAAATCGCGGGTGAGTCATCGTGAACGTGGGATCATATGAAAGAAAAAATGAGACAAGCTGTCACTCGGCAAGTACGAATACCACTTCCCGACATAGAACAACTTTTGCGTTCTCCAAGAGTGAACTTCCCATGGTGGAGGTCGGGTTCGAACTATGAACCTTCCGGGGGCGAGGTGGCTCAGTGGTTAGAGCGCGGATTTACTGACCGGAAGGTCTGAGGTTCGAACCCGATCATTGCCTCTCAATTTCCCCTGTCTAGGCTCGGGCAACCCGGCAGTATCCCAACCCTCGTGCTTCCTTCGGGTGGCATGGCAGTTAGGCACCGAAAGGGTGCTACATCTAAATGATGTATATATATATGTGTGTATGAGGGGAGAATAGTGTGAAGTTTCTTCAGCCCACCTGTTCGGAATTCCGATTTGCTCACAGATGTTCAACAGCCCCCAGAAGAGATAAATTTCTAAATAAACACCGGATGATGACCACGGTACTCTTTGCCATGAGGTTCACGGGTTTTAGAAGTTTGGGAGATACTTCTCGGAACGCCAAAAGCGTGCTGTACAGACACATGGCCAACCAAATTGGTTGTATGCACGTGATGTAGCTGTATGTCTGCGCGTTTCAGAGGCATACAACTTACGACCTTGACATGAGCTGTGCGGTCGGTTCTCCCTAGCTAACTCAACGTGGTGTCTTTCGGAAAGAAGCCCGGACTGTATATTTGTACCATATACATACATAGCTGCTCCTCCCCTTCGTTTTTTATTATCCTATCTGGGTTGTTCGACTGTGGCTTCCTTTCGGTGTGGGATGGCTGAGTGGTTAGAGCGCGAATGTACTGACCGGAAGGTCCGGACCTCTGCATCTCGACTTCCCCAGTCTAGGCTTGGGCAACATGGCAGTGTCCCAGCCCTCGCGCTTCTTTCGAATGGCGTGACAGTTAGACGCCGAAAAGGTGTTGCAATTAGGCACCTCTACCATGCAACTTAAAGGGGACACGAGGTAAGCCAAGAC